CAATTCTCCTATAATAAAGAATAACATACAACATATACAGCACCATTTTATTCCAATAAAAAATCACACAACAATGAATAATACACACACACACACACACACACACACAGACACACACACACACACACACACACACACACATATATATATATATATATATATATATATATATATATTATTGATAAAAATCACAGCATGTTCGGCGTTAGTTAACTTCCAATTTAACTTTTCGATTTTTCTAACGGTTGATCGTGAATCATTTTCAAGTTTCTTTATTTCAAAACCAAACTTTTTGTTTGTTTTATGCATGATAGAACAGAAAAGCTTTTTCCGGTATTCCTATACCATCTTCGGTGTTCAAATTGATACGATTTGTAGGTGTCCAGATTATATATATTTATATAATGTTATAAAAACATAAGAGCAAAATGCAAAGACCCCATAGATAGTTGCAACAAATAGCATGCTACGTACCGTGCACACCTTATCACAAAACTCAACACGACCATAAAATGTTAACACCTAATATATTTTATAGTGCACGGCACATAGCAGTGTGCCTGACTGTAGTATCGCATCGCATGCAACGCAACCATCCTCCAGCTTTTTTTGAAGCTATTTTTCCGAAATTAATAAATAATAATTTTTTTTATATCTTATGCATTCCGTCGTAGAACTTTTAAATATTTTTATCAAACATTCAAACAACTTTACTAGTCGTTAAAATATTTATTGGAATGTTAATTAATTTATTAAATTTTATTCTGCTATATGAAAACGTACAAAAATTTTGTTTAATATTTTTTTATAGTTTTTCAACAATTCCTACGTTTTAAAAGATTTTACAAACAGCACGTTTGCATATTTTTAATTGAATGTAGTTAACACAAGCGGCGTTTTGTTTGGGTGAATGTTCAGACATTCGTTTTAATTTTTCGAAGAAAGGAAAATTATTATTGAAATAATTTTAAGGAAAAAATTGACACAAAAATGTATAATTCAACTCACCGAATGTAAATCTTGTTCTTCCCGATCAAAGACTTGATTGGTGAGCAGCTTGAACTCTTGCGAGTAGACTGGCACGAGTCTGAAGAGTGCTGTGCCCTCAACACTGCATGTGAAGGCTCCACTCTTCCCGGAGTCAGCATCTTTGACGGTGATGAGAGCAACAAAGACGTCAGGGCCGATGTTCTCCATGACCTCGGCGTGCGTTCGATGAGGCCAGAAGTTGACCGATATAACGGGAGGGTTGTCGTTCACGTCCTCCACAAATACTTCAACAGTCACCGTCGAAGTCAGGAGATGAACCAGATTGTCATCGTTCTTTGCCAGGACGGTCAGTCTGTAGTATCGATTGGTCTCGTAGTCGAGCGGTTTCATGATCAGAATTTCTCCCGAGTGACCATTAATCTGGAAGACGTCGCCATACGCGTGGTCGGAATTTGGCGAAAGTAGATAAGTGATGTGGGCGTTTGCTCCCACGTCTTTGTCGGTGGCGTGCACGGTCAAAAGGGTGGTTCCCGGGAGGGTGCTTTCGAGAACGGTTACGCTGTACGATGACTTCTCGAAGACCGGTGGATTATCATTGGAGTCGATTACTTTTATTTCGATGTCTATGAAGCCGCTTTTGGCTGGCCTGCCTCCATCGATGGCTATTAACGTCACCTGTAAATTGTTTAATGTGTCCTTACGTGTCATAACTATGATGGATGCTATTTTTAAAGCAAGCAAGTCAAAAGGTCGGCAGTGTGTAGAATGTGCTAATAGGATTTCCGATCTTGTTTTGCAGGTGTGAATGTGCCTTATGCGCTGTGATGGATGCTTTGTGCGTTGTCAACATTGTTATTTGTCGATGTAACATACAAAATACAATTTCTTCTATGTTTAATGTACATATACACAATCAACCTTTTGAAACAGTACAATAATGGTTTACAAATTGATTTCCATCTGAAGTTTTTGCAATGTGATTGTGTAATGTACACGTTATGCGGTGTACACTTTGATTAGTGTATGCAGTGTGTATGCAACGCACGTGACGTGTTTGCAACGGTGTTTGTTGTGTGCAGCAGTGATGCACTACATGTGTTTGTATACAGCAGATTTAATGATTTGAAAGTAAATTTTGAAGGGTACGTACAAACAGTTTCAAATTGCAAGGTTTATTTGTGTACAAAATAATTTTCCAATAATGTGACGTCATCCTATGTGAGCTGCTCTGCTGGTCGTTTTTGAAACAAACAGCTTCTTGCACATAAAACATATTTTATCAAAGCAGCAACTGAAAATATAACTGCACATGAAAACATTTGTTCCATCATAAAACACGAACAAATGGGATGTTTACATTTCGAGCAATCAAATGCATGCCAAGTTATGCAGCTTATGACGACTGCATCTGCATGCATCATCAGTTCAGCAAATCAGCGATCGTCAAATTATGGTTTCGGTACGGAAATTTATTTTGAAAAGAAGAAAAACAAAATAAAAATTTTTACATTCAAAATTTTAACAATAAAAAACTAAAAAATAATTTGAAAAATTGATTAAGCAAAAAATAGAATACTTGAAAAATAATTGAAAAAGTTGGAATGTTGAGATGTGCTTACCTCGTAATGATCGCATACTTCTCTGTCGAGTTTGGAGACGAGTTTGAGGAGGACATCAATGGAGTCATCAATCTGATCGGCGGCCACCAACTCGAACTCGTTGTACGCACTGACGAGTTGATATTCCTGGTTGTTGCCAGAAGATTTTGTACCAGTTTCTTATTTTATTACAAGCAAGAGTAAAATTGGGTTTTCAATAACTTTAGAGAAGAAACATTTACCGAACATGTGACCAAAAAGATTATTCTTAAAAAATAGAGCACAGCCGGCAACATTTAAATATAACAACTGTTTAAATTCATTAATATGGTTGAGCCGGCGGAATCGAATTAACTTTTTATTAGATCACCGATAAAAAATTATTTTTGGAGTTTATTAAAATTATACAATCAGAGGTTTAATCAGAGATCATGTTTAAATTTATAAAGGTCAGATGCGTTGCCAAGGCGTCTTTGGTACTAAAGACAAAATAGAAAATTTTGCTAGAGTTATAGCTAAATTGAACAAAATTTTCGAAGAAATTTGTTCAACTTTTGACTGAAAACAATTTCAGCCCCTTGCAACAATAAAATTAAGTTAAATTTGTACAAAACCACCGGTTTTAAAAGAAATTATAAAAAATTATGTGATAAGAAAAAATAGTCACCAAACGCCAACTTCTTTAAAATTAAATTTAAGCCAGCCACATCCGTACAAAGTTCCGGCTACGCTACTGGTAATAAGTGGAGTAAATCGAAAATAGTTTCATTCACCGCAACATGTGGCAGTCATTCAATTCAATGTTGTCTCATTCATAAATGTTCTTGAAAGTTGTAAATGGTGAGTAAGTTTGTTAAAAAATTTGATATCACATAAAAATTAATTTTTTAAGAATAAATCGATGATTACCAAGTTTTTAAATAGTTTTGAAATAGTATAAATAATTTGTTGTTCAAACTAATGATTAATGCAACACGGCATCAGTCGGTAAGATTGTAATTTAAGAGGGTCGCAAAAAGATACAAAATTTGCTATTTTTTCCATTTATTTATTTTTTATTGAAAAAATGTCTTTCAAGTATTTTAATGTCAAGGTGCTTATGCATGTGTGAACATGAGAATGTTTGTGTGCTTGTGTAAGCATCACATGTGAAATGTGAAATGGAGATGGATGTGTGTAACTGTGTATATCATACAACCTCTCTCTTTCTTTCTCTCTCTCTCTCTCTCTCTCTCTCTCTCTCTCTCTATGTCTGTGTTTGTTTGTTTATTTATCATATGTGACATGAAGATGTTTAGGTGTGAATTCGGAACAGTATTTTGTTCATCCAAATTTCAATTTAGTTGCTCTTGTAAAATTCTTTTATTTAACAATTTATAAAATTTATACAACAGAAAATTTCATTTTGTATGGAATCTTGTGAAGTTGCTGTAGAATATCTTTGATTGCCACATTATATCAATACATCATGGTACGCCAGCATTATAAAGATTTTCTCCTTCTTTTTTGATACTCGTATCGAGGAAAAATATGAGCGATGGAAGTACAACGATAAAGTTGTATCAAACAATTTTTTGAGCGTGATGCAAATAAAAGGATGTGAAAGCATGCAGATATCTTGAAGGTTTTGTGTATTCTATTTGTGCACAATTGTACGCTGTGTGTACATGCATATCGTGTGTGTACCAGTATGTATATTGCAAATGTATGCCAGCTGATAATGTACATACATGAACTTTACGTGCACACTTTTTTCATACACGTATGTATGTATAATTGTATATTGTACCCATGCATTTTGTACAGCCATCCAAAGGATGTTCTATACTGGATGCATATTTGCATGCCACACATTCAACTCTTCATATTCGTTTGCATGTTTATTTGCCAGTCCGGAATCACTAAATATCACCACTCCATTCCATTCCATTCATAAAGTTCATTTGAATGAGCCTGTTTGCTTCATAAGTGCGGAATCATTTGAAGAGCAAGAAATTATTCATTCTTCAATTTCGTGTAAACATCTAAGTCAGAATGATTTAATGTTTAGAAATATGGAGTCTCATTATAAACTCAAATTTATGTTCACATAAAACCTTTTGTGTTGCATAAGAGAAATTATGAGCGCAGATTTTAACCTAGGAGCTCATTAGTATTTGTTTCATTATCGACCAAAAATAATGTTGGAATTATAAAACAGAAAAATAAGTGACAGAAAAAAATATATGAACATTGTTGAACTATTGAACGATGAAAAGAAACCCATTTAATTATGATCTCGTTGCCACATGAAATGATGTTTGATATCTAAGTTTTTATTCAACCTTAAATTTTCAATAGTAATAATGAAATAAATCATTCATACATTTAATTTTTTTCACTTTTTATTTCCTTGCTCACTGCCTTTTTATTTTAGGTCTTTGAACAAACAAAAAAAATAGATAAAAAAGTAAAGAGCTAACAAGCTTATTAGCGCTACACCTATGTTGAGTCAACTGCATTAATTCACAATTTCAGTGGTGTTGCAGCATGGAGTGCAGCTGTTGTTCGTTTCCTTGCATCTATTAACACGCAGTGCGTGTACGTGTGCCTGCTTACAACACATTCACCGTCTCCACATACATTACACGTTAGTCACACCTCAATAACAACTCCCACACTTCGGTTGACTTCTGTGCCCGTCCTAAGCGTATAATGGACCAGCTGACAATTATTTTCTTGCCACTGCGTATGATTAACAATTCTCGTTTAGGCAACTTTTGCAGGATAATATGTAGGAAATAACTTCTAAAACGGGTCTCCAAGTTCTTTTACATATTGAATGACGTTCTTGATTGAGTTCTAAATAAAATATTTGATGTTTGTTTCAGTTGCGTTGTGCACAATTCATAGAAAGTTACTTTCAATTGAATGTAGGAACTGCCACTGACAACGTTTTAGATATTAACTTCCTTAAACAGGCACCATTGACTATCGTTAAACCTTCAAACTTCCTCTGAAACTCTCAAACAATTGTTCAAGCCGGATATATTTCAATTTCAAAGCATTTCAAAATTAAATACAGAAAGAAAACACGCTTATAAAAATAAATAGCAAAATGAAAAAAAAACTCATACTGCGCTGATAATTTTCAGTGGATTACTTGACTTAATCCGCAAATTATCGTGTTTCGGCTTCTTTCATTTCAAATGAAAATCGTATTCATCATTTGGAATCATTGAGAGTGGTTGGCATTTGTAACTTTACTTCACCGCTAGAAAGTTTTAATGCTTGCAAGCAATTTTCTCATTGTATGCACAATTTTGTTATTGGATGCCATAGATTTTCTAGGTTTTAGTGGAAGTTTCAATAACGTAGTTTATATGACTAAATTTATTAGAAACAAACTAAACAGAACTCACGAATAGATTTAAAAATAAGAGGAACGCCAGTTATGAGGGACATTCATCAAAATGTCGGTGCGGCATTTCGAAATAGGAGTGAAGGAGAGAGGACTGCAGTTGCATCTCGCGCGGTCATCGTATCGTAACAAGCAATCATTTTGTGAATGTAAAAAAGAGAAGTTCGTGGTCATGGGTCAGTGGTTAGAATATGCAGTCGACATCATCACCGATTTCTTTTTTTCATTAATGTCATTAATACTTTTGCTCAATTTTTGTTTTTTAATTAAATTTTTCAACTTATTTTATGCAATTATATTTTATGAAATTAAATAATAAAAATGAAAATTTATTTTAAGTTACATTAACCTTATTTTTTTGTTAAAAATTAAAAATATTTTTAAGAATTAATTATTTAATAAATATAAAAAGTTAGTTTTCTTGTAAAATTCTTAAAGACATATAATTAAAAAAAGTTTTGCATAATGTTTTGTTTCTGGATTGCAGCTCCAACAAATTGGATTATTTATTGTTAGAATTTCCATGAAAACCAACTTGGCAGGCAGCTGTGAGAATTTCTTTCCACTTGCGTTTCTCGTTTTTGACCTGTCAAAGATCGCGAAGACATTACTGAGATAATTTGTTAGAGAAAACGAAAAATTGGCAGCCTGTAAGCCAATCGGCAAATAAATAAACGAATATAAATATAATGAAAAGGATATTGCTGGAATGTGCCTGCATGACAGCATGCTTTGGAGGGACCGCATAGAACAATTTTAAATATATGTTTACGATTTTTGAAAGTTATGATCCCAAGTGAATATTTATGTTTCTAAAAAAATGAAGTGCGTTAAAAAGAGAAAAAAATGGTTGGCTGTTAGAAAAAGAAGAAGAGAGAGGAGAGAGTTGTTGAGCCATGAAGAGGTGGATTAAAAGTAACACTCGTAAATAACAAGCAACCAACTGTTCTCTCCGATGATTCCTTTCAACCGAGCACATTTCTTTATCCTGCTAGATGCATTTCTGAAACGTTTGCATTCAGTTGTAAACATTCATAACACAAGTTTTTGCACAACTGTCCAATTTTTTTACGATGTTAAATTCATTATTTTTAATGTCAAATGCTTTACGATACTTAATTATATTGCATTTTCATAAATGTTTCAATCCTTTTACATGCCGTAAATTTCCAAAAGATAAAATGATTTCAGGATGTCTAAAACTTTCTAAATTTAAATTGTTTTTAAGACGAACTCTAATAATTAAAAAAAATTGTACAACCATTTGATCGATTAAGCTGCAAATTTCAAAAGTGCTAATTTTAACGTTGTTCAGTCAATAAGATCAAAAATATTTTTGAATAATTAATTTAAAAATGTAATTGTTTTAGATTATTCCATATAATATTTCGACTTTTCAAAAAAAAATTTCTGAAATTTTTATTGATCTGCAAATAATAGCCTTACATTTAATTGATGTAAAGAAGTTGCAGGTTGAATGATAATTGGAAATAATTTTGGTATCAGTTTTTATTTTGTATATCATCCCATATCAGTTAGTGTACAATGAGATATTGTCATCATCCTTCAATGAAGAGATTAAATCGGATTTATTGACAGTGGTGGGAGAGTAACTTGATGTGGTATTTATAATTTTTCCCAGCTATTAATCAGTCTCATTTATATTGCGTCCCAATATTTGATTTTTTAAAATTATTTATTTATATTATGTTTATATTATAGCAATAATTTTTTACTTAATCAATCAATCAGTCGGTCATTCAGTTAGTCAGCCAGCAATTCAGCCTGCCGGCCAACCAGTCAGCCAGCTAGTCAGAGTCAGTCAGTTCGGATGAATATATCACTTTAAGTAACGACTATCCATCGATCGTACATACAATATTTAAATTGATCAAAATAGTGTTGATAGATACAAAATTTTAAAACTTTTACACCGATAAAACCTATAACTAAAAGTTACACATTGCGAAAACTTTAATTTAAAAACTAATATTGAGTTTGTGTAAAAATATTTGTGTTTGTCGGGTCGCAAGAAAAAAAATGTAACGGCAAGTAGCCGTTAATTTATATTTCATTTTATTTCTAGTAAAATATATCATTTTTTTTATAAATTTTTTATATAAACTTTAATACAAAAATTCAATCTAGATATTATATATTAACTTGGTCGTAGAGTTGATTGAATTAAATTGAACCTAAAATATTGAAAATAATTTGATATAAGTCCCACTTGTTTAAAAAAATGAAAATTCCTTATAAATGTTTTTGATATATTTACAACATATTACCTCACCGCACTTAGAAATTCAAACGTTAGCAGCCCAACCTGGATGCCGTTGATTCCAGTATCGTGATCTTCAGCTGACGGCAGGTGGATGAAGTAGCCCAGACTTGATGACTCTGCCACTTCAATCGTTGTCCTGTTTTTCTGAAACCTGGGAGCATTGTCGTTGAGGTCCAACAAGTTGACTGTTATCTATGGGAAGCAGTGGGATTATTTGAAGTTGAAGTTTTGTATATTGTATATTCCATTTAAACATTATTTTTTGTCTCCATTAATTCAATATTTGTCACCAGCAACTACAAGCTGTTCATTTATTTTTTGCTATTATTATGAACTTCAAAAAAATTATTGAAAATGAAAAATATTAACAGAAGCTGTTGTTAATACTAAAATTTGTATTTTACATTTAATTTCAATTAATTTAATTTTTTGATGACTCGAAGCATAACATGCGCATGTAGAATCGATCAAAATTTGTTCGTTTGGTTGATGTTGGACATTCTCATAAGTAAGTTAGAAGGAGGAGAAGAACTGAGTAGGCAAGCCAGACAGCCAGCCAGCTAGCCAGCAGTGATATTTCATGTAACCTAAAAACGACAACGTGACGTCTGCAATAATATTGAAACAAAACAAGAGAAGCTTAAGTTTTTTTGCCAAGCGAAATCTGCGTGTTGTAGGCTTTATGAAAGCAGATTGATGGATTACAAAACTTGGAGGATGGAAAACTTGTTAACAAATGCTTAAGAAAAAAAATTAAATTGAAAGTTCTAACGAGCCAAAGGATTAACAAAAAAAAATTTGAAATGAAAATTATTTAAAAATGTTCGACCGTAACAAATTGTTAACTTTCAATCATATAAAAATAATTTTTTGTTGAATGCAAACTGACATCAAATTTGTGCGCACAAAATCTATTCACTTGCGTCATTTTCAAATTTAATAATTTTTTCTAGAAATCTGCGTGAAATGTTAAATTTAGCGGACAATCAAATGAACTAACTTTGACGATTTTGATGTAATCGATCGGCTTGACGACGACATCAAAAGTGAGTGAGCAGGAGGAACTTCTGGTGGAGGAGATGATGAGGGAGGAGGCGAGTGAAGCTGGTCGTTCGTTGTGCAGAGGGCAAAGTTCATCTCGGTCCAGGACGACGAATATATAGAGGTCACCGGTTGTGGCATTCAACTTGAAGTAATCTTCAACGTGGTAGGACTTGGAGAACGTGCGAGGCACGGGACGGAAGTGATATCTCAGTAGTGATTGTGTCGTCGAACCATGAACCGCTTTGGATGATGAAATGGTTGGATCGGTAAGTTGCGCATCTCTTGGAACATTTCCAAGATAATAAGGTACTTTGTTTTCTTCGTTTATAGTGTATTCAATTGCTTTGTTGATTTTTTCGCTATCATTGTACAGCATTTTGTCCTTATTAACTTGCTGCTTGTTCTTCTTTCCAGTTGAACTTGTTTTCTTCAAGTTGTCGTTCACCGCTCTGTTCAGCTGGTTAAAGTGGGGTGCATCAACGCCTCTGAAGTTGGTTTCCAGTCGTTGTATCTTCGTTGAACGTCTCGCTGCTTTGTAGTCGGATGAATGGACGATAACAAATAATGAAGCAAAAAGAAATAAAATTATTTTATAATTCAACTTCGACGGAGATTTGACGTTTGATTGTTTTTCTGATCCAATTAGAAGAATTCTGAGCAACTCTTTCAGATGCATCGAATCGACTGCAATAAAAATAAAATCCAATTTATATAATAATGTTGAAAATTAAATTTTACAACAATTGGTAAATATAATTTAACTTTTTTTTCAATGAGTCAACCAATAAATAATGTTTTATTATGCATAAACTGCGAGAAACAATGTTTTTTTTTAAAGCGAAATATGAGCCGGGTTGTGAAGACAGCCAAAAAATTGTTAAAAAATCGCATTCATGTACAAATAGGCGATCGATGATTAATATGTTGGTGTCACGCTGCTCTGCGCTGTCTGATGAAATTGCAATCAAAATCTCATTGATAAAGGAGTTGTGAATGATGAATCCTACTCTCGAGATGGCGAATGTTTAAAAAAATTCAAAAAATATGCAAACATCATTCGCTGCTGCTTGCCTCTTTGAATATAATGAAAAGGTATCATAAAAATTTATTTGCATATTCTAAAATTTAATTTTAAATATCAGAATATCAAATGACGTTGTTAACAAGCCACATTTCAATTCATAATTACACCAGTCTATTTTGAATTTTAAATTACATCAATCATCATAAATGTTTTTGACAAAATAGGAACAAAGTGAAGATCAACATTCTTCATTTTTACCATCAATTTATACTCCGATTTGTCTTTTGGTTATGTTGCATGTGTGTTTGTTAGAATAACAATAAACGTTAATTTTCTTGTATATTATATATATATATATATATATATATATATATATAATAATAATAATTAGAAATTGTGCTGTGTGTATATATATATATATATATATATATATATAATATGTATGTATGTATATATATATATATATATATATATATAGGTGCGTGTTTGTTCGCGTGGTTACGATGAGTGCGAATATTAGCCAATTAAAGAATCGCGAATGTGTTTTGCATAATTGCATAATGTACAACAAAATTGTATATAACTGTACAAGATAATGTACAACCAATTGTATATGAATGTACTGCACAATGCTCAAACAGACAGATGTATACGAACAGGAAAACAAATTTATCGTTGGACATCCATTCCTCAAGAGTGCCGCCTCAACAAACACAGCCATATATGTCAAAATTGTATTTCCTTCACAAACAAATTTATAATGGCTTACAAATTATATTATATTATTGTCCCCTAAAATCCATTCTGACCCTGACATCGGTTAAAACTTTGATGAGATAGCAGCCAGGTCGTGGGGATGGCCAATGGCACAGTGGAAGATGTAGACGACGGGTATGCAGGCGGGCCATAGGAAAGACTGAGGATGTGTTTAATCACAAGCTCAGATTACTTGGACGCCAAACCTGAGTACGATTAACTTATATATACGTAAGTTAATCGTATTTAGGTTTGTACTATATATATATATATATATATATATATATATATATATTGATGATGATGAGGATTTATTTATTTATTCAGAACCAAAAACTGCACAATAAAAAAGAGCAATTAATGGTCTTCGGAGACCAAATAGGAAAAATAACTTGTATAAGCCACAGTGTCAAAAGGAAAAAAAAGAAAAGAGAAAAATAATATGTACGTCAGAACTATTATGTTAAGTATTGAGTAGTTATTATGCGTCCTTTGACAAAATGCAACCAAAACTGTGAAATGAAATTTAAAGAGTAAATCGAAATAAAACCTGGCAACAAAAGAAACGAATATTTCGACATATGAAATTAAATTAATATGATAATAAAATCGAGCCAAATATTTATTATATGATTTTATTGTGGGTCAATTGTTAATATAAATTCAAATATATATATTTATATATATATAATTATTATTTTTATTATTATTAAAAGAAAACTAAATATAGCGTTCGTTATAGCAGTTTTCACAAACGCTATCAAATTATAACTAATATTAATAACAAAATAGCAAATATATATATATATATAAATATATATATGCACATACATATCTGTGTGGTTTGTAAGAGAATGTGTAATGTGTGCACTTTTTGATATCAGAAGTTTGCATAAATGTTTTTTATTTACAAACGCCACATGTGCCAAACGTCTCATGATGCTATGCTACTGGCGGGTTTCTGCACAACTTGTTTTCAAACGCGTGCTGGTACAAATAACGCAAAATCAAAACGCAACTACTGCACAAACAGCCATCGTTTAAACCAACCTCGCATAAACAAACAATGCATAAACAAACAACGCATAAGCAACTAACGCCGAAGCAACCATCGTATGAACAGTTGACGCATATAAACCGCGCATAAACAAAGAACGAACAAACACAAACAAACGACGAAGAGACAAAATGACACGCACTAGTAGATTACTGTAAATGGATTTCTACGTAGAATGTGTAAAAGTAACAAATCTAATGCTGCAAGGCATAAATCCATGGGACGACGCAACAGAAACAGTCTTGATCAATAGATATTTATAATACTTGATGTGCTGTATAAATGCATATACACGGTGAATGCACCTTCCTACTGCTCCAAAAGGCATTAATGTTCTTTTGAGGGTCATCCATTCTATTCATTCGCTTCTGTAAGAGAAACAGGACCAACTAAAATTTGAAAAGCATGAAAACACACACAAAAATTTGCGTCTAATGAAGCATCTATCCTATGCATATATATGTACTTATATACATTCATACTCAATTGTAGATGTGTTCGATTTTGGTGCCAGCGAAGTAACAGAAGGTGACGATGATGACGACGACGATGAGGAAGACTATAATGATGAGGAGGAAGAAGATGATGATGACAATAATACTGAACCAAAATTATTTCTTTAAATAAAATTCTTCAATAGTTTATACATTCAGCAAACCACGCTGCAAAATTTCTTTGACTGATTTATTGTCGGTAGAAAAACAGAATTCGATGATCAACATAAAAATGTCCCCAAGTAAAAAAACAAAAAACAAACAATTTCCTCTGTAAAGACCGCCATTTTGTTTTTTGAAATATTTGGCCAATTAAGGTAATTAGATGTGTAAAAGTGATAGACAAACAGTTACTGAAACGAACACATAAATTTGTTTTGTTTTGATTTTTCAATTTTCAATGCAAACGCACAGCTACCAGCACAGACATACACATACATGTTCAGAGTCAGACAGATACAAACATACAAACTCAGACATGCAACACACTCAAATTGATACAACATACAAAGATACAACACACCTAAATACAACAACGTAGATACAACACACATAGATACAACATACTTAGATAAAAAAATATACAAATACAACATACAGAGGTACAACATACATAAATACATACACAGATAAAACATACATAGATATACCACACATAGATACAACACATCATGCATTTATACAACATGGCTAGAGTATTTTTTATGTAATGATCAGTTGAAGATAATGATGGCTTCAACGTCATAAAATTAATGATGATGTTCCGGTGATGTTAATGATGACGTCAAAATGTTTCAATAATAATGGTGATGATGATGATGATAATGAAGATGATGGCGATTATGATAATGTAATCACGATGATGACGATGGTAATAAAAATGATGATGATGATGTCATCACGATTATGGTAATGTTTTAGTAATATTAATGATGACAATAAAGCTACCACATAATTTACTGTGAAAATAATGATAATGATGATGATGTGGGAGGTGTGGTTATAAAATCAATGAGAGTGAATGTGAGGACGATGATGATGAGGAAAAGGATGATGATGAATGTAAAATAAGGTTGATACTTTTTAGGGTATATTTTAGTTACACACACACACACACACACACACACACACACACACACACACACACACACACACACATACACACACACACACACATACACATATATATATATATATATATATATATATATATATGTGTGTGTGTATGTGTGTGTGTGTGTGTGTGTGTGTGTGTGTGTGTGTGTGTGTGTGTGTGTGTGTGTGTGTAACCAAAATATACATATATATAACCAAAATTTTTGACCTTGTTTTTATATTCATCATCATCCTCTTCTTCATCATCATCATCATCGTCGTCTTCTAAATAATTGTTTTGTTTAATTAATATATAAAAGTTATCTGTTTCGTTTAATTAAAATAGAAAAATTAATTGGTTTGTATATTTAATCTAAAGAGTTCATTCACTTGTATAAGTAATTTTGTTAACTACATAGTTTAACATGGTCATCTTGAGATGCACAAATTTTCATTATGTTGTTTTTGTTGTCTCGGTTAGGCCAGAAATGAAATTAATGTTGTCGAGTTCATTGCTATTATCGTCACTATCATCAGTGTCCTTTGTCAGCGCCATGATTTATTGATAATAATAATAACAAAAATAATAATAATAACAAAAATAATAATAATAACAAAAATAATAATAATAACAATAATAATAATAATAATGATTACAACAACAATGGTATTGAGAATAAACAAGTAATAGTAGAATGATAAGATGGCCAACTTTGTTTATGTTTATGTTCTAACCCTACTACCACTACTACTACAACTATTACTACTACTTTTACTACTACTACTACTACTACTACTATTACTACTACTACTACTACTACTACTACTACTACTACCACTACCACTATTACTATTAATTACTACTACTATTATTATTACTACTACTACAACTATTACTACTACTACTAATACTGTTACTACTACTACAACTACAAATATTACTTCTTCTATTACTACTACTTTTACTACTACTACTTCTACCACTACCGATACTACTACTACAACTTCTAATAAAATAATAATATTCATAAATGTTCTATTTTCACCACACATATAAATGTAAACAGTTATTAAAGCTAATAACTAGGAAAGCAACAGTTGTTAATTTCACTCAGGTGTCTCTCATTTACAGTTGTTAATGTTCTTCATTATTATTATTACAATACTTGGCTTCTGTTCATAACATTGTACAATGGGTATACCAATAAAACTTAGTCATCTACTCAATTTAGTCTATTCTGTTTTCTTATCAATCACT